GTTCATGGGAAAAACACAATGCAAACGCATCAAAAACTCAACACACCGTGGCAAAAACACATATGCCTTTTTTTCAATGGAGCAGTATAAACGCAACTTAAACTCAAAGGACCATTGTGAAGAGCAGCAAAGGGCAAACTATGGCCCGCGGGCCGTATACGGCCCGTCGGACCTTTTAATCTGGCCCGCGGAGCTATGAGGATCTGTCCCCCTCGACGTATCTGCGCATGTGCCGGAGATCGCCGATCGGCTGCTAATGCCTGAAATTGGCACATGCGCAGATACGTCGAGGGGGACATCCTCATAGGAGACAGATTTTCATGCTACACCGGAACGGCGCGGGAACACGGCGAGAGGAACGCGCGGAGCAAAGGTAAGTGAATTGACAAAGGGGGGACTTGGGGACTTAATATGGGGGCTGAATTAATATGGGGAATGAATTACTATAGGGGGGATGAATTACTATATGGGGGATGGATTACTATATGAGGGATGAATTACTATATGGGGGATGAATTACTATGGGGGATGAATTACTATATGGGGGATGAATTACTATATGGGATGAATTACTTATGGGATGAATTATATGGGGGATGAATTAATATATGGGGGATGAATTACTATATGGGATGAATTACTATAGGGGATGAATTACTATATGGGGGATGAATTACTATATGGGGGATGAATTACTATATGGGGGATGAATTACTATGGGGGATGAATTACTATATGGGGGATTAATTACTATGGGGGATGAATTACTATATGGGGGATGAATTACTATATGGGGGATGAATTACTATGGGGGATGAATTACTATAGGGGGGATGAATTACTATATTGGGGATTAATTACTATGGGGGATGAATTACTATATGGGGGATGAATTACTATATGGGATGAATTACTATATGGGGGATGAATTACTATATGGGGGATGAATTACTATGGGGGATGAATTACTATGGGGGATGAATTACTATATGGGGGATGAATTACTAGGGGGGATGAATTACTATATGGGGGATGAATTACTATATGGTGGATGAATTACTATGGGGGATGAATTACTATATGGGGGATGAATTACTATATGGGGGATGAATTACTATGGGGGATGAATTACTATGGGGGATGAATTACTATGGGGGGATGAATTACTATATGGGGGATGAATTACTATGGGGGATTAATTACTATGGGGGATGAATTACTATAGGGGGGATGAATTACTATATGGGGGATGAATTACTATGGGGGATGAATTACTATGGGGGATGAATTACTATATGGGGGATGAATTACTATATGGGGGATTAATTACTATGGGGGAATATTATTATACTTACTATGGATGACACATACACATCATTCATCTACTCTTGGTCCGGCCCCCGGGTCCAATATATGAACCCATTGCGGCCCTCAAGTCAAAAAGTTTGCCCACCCCTGGTGAAGAGGATGTAAAGGGATGCATCTTTCATGCATTTTTCTTCTGCTTTTTTAACTTAAAAAATGATCAGGGTGAAAGGGCCCTTTATTGTGTTTGAGTTGGATGAAGTTGGATCCATCAGAATGTCAGAATCATAACATACCATATGAATCCAAGATTAATTTTGTTTTATGCGTTATGTTATGATTCAGAGTTTCTGATGAATTCACCTCCATCCAACCTAAACAATGCATAAGTATTATCTCCTGAAATAACAATTTAACAAGTTAAGATGAATATAGCAATCTTCCGAAATTTAAATTGCTTAAAAGATAACACATATACTAACTGAATCCAAATATACAAAATGTATCTGAATATATGAAACAAATTCCAAAAAACGAATCGCTCTAATATAACGAATCAAAACTATTAAACTAACAAACGAATCCGAAGCAAGATTAATTTTTCCTTCATGCTCATCTCTAATGTTATTCCCTTTACCTATCAGTGGTCATAATGTTATGGCTGCTATTGTGTATTGTTTTTGTAGTCTTTTTGAGTGTTTTTCCAGCAGAAAAAACGCTAAACACTCCTAATTGCCACGAAAATACTCCTAACACCTTTTTTTCTAGCTTTTTTTTCTATGTGTACTGTAAAACACTAATAAAATGCTAATGCTCCTAAATGGTTCTAAACGCTATAACCAGAATTTTTTATCCAGTGTTTTTTCCAGCATTTATTGAGATTAAAATACGCTAGTGTGGATGTAGCCTTAATGAGTATAAACCCTGCCTACAGGATGGTAGACATCTAGAAGCGGCTTCTCTTCTTGCAGACTTAGTTTAGGAGACTCTACTCAATACTATTAATGTTAATATTCTGTGCTATTGTGTTATCTCCTTGCCAGGTATCAGTTGACTTCTCCCCAGATGAGGTCCTCCCAGGATCGGATGTATCTCTCCAGGTTCAGGCTGCTCCTGGCTCTCTCTGTGGTCTCAGGGTGGTGGATCAGAGTGTGGTGTTAATGAAACCAGACAAGGAGCTGACTGCTGACAAAGTGAGTGTTGGATCTCCAAATTTGACAACTGTTTTCTTTTTAGCTGGACTTTACTGCAATTTATTTTTTAATTTTTCATAAATACTTTTTTTAAGGTTTTTAATCTATTTCCATTCCGGGATGATGGCAGATATGACGATCGCATCAAAGAAAATGAAGTCCGTTGTCCGTATTATTATTTTCATTATCCTTCATCAAAGGCATACTCTAGTTCCGACTGCATACTTCCACCTCCCATAGATGATCAGAATGTGGATGTGAACGGCTTATTTAAGGTATATATAAACACAAACTGAAAGATGTAACTATAAATTAGGAATAAGGAAATGTGCATAATATACAATGTTTTATTTTTAACCACTTCCTGTCCGGACACTTTTACCCCCTTCCTGTCCAGGGCAATTTTCAGCTTTCAGCGCTATCGCACTTTGAATGACAATTGCGCGGTCATGCAATACTGTACCCATATGAATTTTTTACCATTTTTTTGAGACAGATAAAGCTTTATTTTGGTGGTATTTATTCACCGCTGGGATTTTAATTTTTTTTACTATGTAAATGAAAAAGTCCAAAAATTTTGAAAAAAAAAAAGTGTTTTTTTTTATAAAATTTTGCAAATAAATAATATTTCATCCTAAATCTTGGCCAAAATTTATTCCGTTATTTTTTTAGTAAAAAAAAAAAATCCAAATTAGTTTATAATAAAACATTATAATTTTTAAACATTTTTTTTTACATTTTTATTTTATTTTTTTTTATATTATTTTTTGTTTTTATTTTTTATTTTTACATACTGTCACCCTAGCAGTACAGTGTCACCATGGTGACACTGTACTACTTGTGGGGGGTGATGAAGATTTTTTTTTTTTTTTTTTTTACACTGATTGCTTTTACACCCATATAGGATGTAAAAGCAATCATTTCTCTTTCTCTCTGTCTGCATTCTTGCAGTCATTGAGAAATACTGAGTGAGCTGTGATTGGTCACAGCTTGTCACATGGTACAAGGCTGTTGTGAATAGCCTTGTACCATGTGACCTCTGTGATCATTCACAGATTTCACACGTAGTAAGCAATGATGTCACAAGTGACATCTTGCTCACTACTTTGCATGTGATCACTGATTCGCCAATCAGTGATCACATGACCGGGACCTCGTACAGAGGTCCCGTCCGACGATCGGTGTTTCACTGTGTCCGGAGGACACAGCGGACACCGGATCGCGCTAGTGCGCGCTCCTAGGGAGCGCGCACAGCTAGAAAAGGCGGGTGCCGTTTAGGAACGGCAACCCGACCTTGGACTGCCACCGCCCTGCCGTTTATAAACAGCAGGCGGACGGCAAGAGGTTAAAACGAAAGAAGCAAAGCAACAGTTTTATAATATATAGATTTAGGAAATAAAGCTATAAGATGAATACCATACTTAAAGTAGTTGTAATCCCTTACATATACCCAGTGAAATGACTGGTCTCAGGTGATACATGGAGATGAAGCAAATCCTTCCACATAAGTTGTACCTGTTTATCTGTTTATGTGTCCTGTACAGCCTTCTACAACACAGATTTTCTCATCAGCACAAAGCAGGTGGCACGCCAGAGCTCAGTAAGGAGAGCTCTGAACCTTGATTGGAGGGAGGGGATACACCCCCCCCCCTTCCTTTACACAGGACACAGGGAGTACGCACAGCTTTGGCTGTCAGTCATAGGCTGTGTGCTCTAGCTCTCCTCACTCATCACCAAATATCTAGGGGAGTCAGGAAAAACTGTCAGGATGACAGATAAGCAGATAGCAGAGGAACGAGTCAACAGAGAGAAATCACACTCAGTATAGAAAGATGTTCTTTGTTCATATTTCATGTCTGAGGTTTACAACCGCTTTAAGACCTATTTGTTGGTGCTGTTGGCAGCCATGGGTACATCTATCTCCACATATGTCTATAAAAATCACTTAAAGACCAGTAATAGTAATATTAGTGCATTGTGAAACATATCATCAGTGAGGTGATACTGCTGAAATCACATGAGTTTCTGTAAGTACTGGTGGAAGCCACACAGCCAAGTTTCAAATAAACAGCTTCACCATGATGTGACCTGCAGAAAATCTGGAGTACTCAGCTTCTCGGGACTTGAGCCCAAAGTCCGGTTTTCCTACATGCATACATGAAACAGAAATCAATGCTTGATCACTTAATCAGCCAACGGCTCTCAAAATAAACCAACCAGCTGCTTAGTTTCTCAGTTTGCCATACAGGTGCTTTCCAACCTATTATGCACTGATGTTTCTGAAAAGGTATGCTAACCACTTGCCTACAAGGCACTTAGACCCCCTTCCTTACCAGGCCAATTTTCAGCTTTCAGCGCTGTCGCATTTTGAATGACAATTGTGCGGTCATGTAACACTGTACTCTTTTTTTTTTTTAGACAGATTGAGCTTTCTTTTGGTAGTTTTTAATCACCTCTGGGTTTTTTATTTTTTGCTAAACAAACCAAAAACAACTGAAAATTTAGAAAATTTAGTAAATAAGTGATTTTTCTCCTTCGCTGATGTGCGCTAATGAGGCTGCAGTGATGGCCACTGATGAGGAGGCACTGGTAGGTGGCACTGATGGGCATTGACAGGCATCACTGATGGGCACTGAAAAGCAGCACTCATCTATGGCACGGATAGGCAGCACTGATAGGCGGCACTGACTGGCATTGATAGGTGGCACTGACTGGAAGCTCAGATGGGCACTGATATGTTGCATTGATGTGCACTGGTAGGAACTGCTATGTGGCATTGATGTGGCACTGATGGGCACTGGCAGGTGGCATTGATGATCACTGACAGCTGGCATTGATGGACACTGACAGGTGGCACTGCTGGGGCTACACTGATCATCAGTGCCCTGATAATCTGTGTACATGTCCCCTCTAAGGAATGCCGATTACCGGCTCCCCTCTCCTCTCGAGCTGTCAGTGTGACAGCTCGTGAGGAGAGAAATGACGATAACCGGCATTTCCTTATTTACATGCAATCAGCTGTGATTGGACACAGCTGATCACATGACTGAGCTGACGTCTTTGGCTCTTTCTGTTGATCGGTGATCCGCTGTATCCGACGGACACAGTGCACCACCAATCACTGCACTGCGTGCTCCCGGAGCCGTGCACGCGCGGTTAGAGTGGGAGGACGTCATATGAGAGTACGAGAGAATGAGAGAACCGCGTTGCTCCTGTCATTTCGTTATATGGTGGGTGGGAGGCGGATAAAGAGGAACTTTACCCTCTCAATCAACACTGACTATGTTTAATCCTTTTGCTGCTATCATTAGTAAACAGATAGGAAAGTATATCATATTAACTTGTATTAAACTTTTTTTTTTTAAATTTCTTCAGTTACTTCCTGGTTTCCAGCACTTGGCAAATTATGTCATACATTTCAGGAATGTTTAGAAGGGGAGGAGAGGTTTTCTCAGCTAAGCCCACAATCCTGCCTGCATTCCTAAGCTAAAGGCAGATGGATTTTAACAAGTAAATGCTACATGAATCATCTGCCCTTACTCAAGATGGCCATGGCCAGAAATGCTAAGGGGTGTTTTTTTTTCAAAGTGATTTCTCAACAAAAAAAAACATGGAGATGTGGCTGGATGGATGAGTTTTCTTTGAATATTAAAAATAAGTGAAATGTGTGGTTTGTGGTGCTCAGAGGCTGTGTAATTCCACGCTAAAGACACTAGTTGCTTTGTCACCAAAAATGCTCCAAACTTTCAACTACTAGTGTTGAGGCCTGGCTCACATACAGTTTGTATACCACTTTAGGTCCTCCAGCCTTTCCATCCAGCCACTGCTGTGGGTACCTCCAGAATCCACCACTCCCCTGCAGACTCAATAGCAGATAAGGGGGATGGAAGAGAGTGAAGGTGTAGGAAATGTGAAAGGAAAGGGGAGGAGCATCCCAGAAAAGAAAAGAGGTAAAGAAAGAAAAGGGGAAGAGGCAAAAAAAAAAGGTGTGGGCGGGGGGGCTCTACGACTAAGCCCCACTAGGGGGTGAAAAATCTCAGAGAAAAGTGTGGGTTGGAGTATCAGTTTTCATGATGGGACTTGAACAGTAAAGTTGTTTTTAGCCTGAAGGAGAACAAAGTGTAGCCTTGTATGTGATAAGAGTTGAGAGGCTGGCATTCATGCAAAGGGAGAAAGGCTTGATAAGATTTATCTTAATGCCACCCAAAGGCAAATAAACTGTGCACTTTGCAAAGTGCAGTTGCACTCAGAGGCATCCCTAGGGTTGGTGTCATCCAGTGCGATAACACTCGGTGACACCTCCTCTGATGATCCCGTAGAATGAATCAGATCTGCGGATTGAGCATAATGCATCGGACTCTGACTGCGCATACATAGGCTTTTACCAGAGCAGCAGCAGAGTTTAGAGACAGTTAAATGTCCCTCTCCTACATGTGGAGGAATCGCGTTCAAGAGTAGAACATTTTGGCCAAAAAACACCAAACGCAGCAAAAACTAGTATAAATGCGCCTATACGCTAACCTCATTTAGCGCTTGGACGTTTATTCATTTCAATGGCAAGTACTCTGGCCAATGAAATAATAAGAATGTCCAAATGCTAAACACGGCTAAAGACAGATAAACACTAAACGCTGTATCAGCAATGAACAGTATGTGATGCATAATTATAATCCTCATAATCCCACAGTAGTTCCTCTGCAGTCAATAATCAGCTTCTCAGAGTGCACTCAGCATATATATGTGTGTAATATATAAATATATATATATATATACACAGACACTGTGTGTATATGTATAAATGTATATGTATATAAATACATAGTATATACACTATATAGCATCAAGTCATTTAAACTCCTGGGATATTAACTAGTTGCCGACCGCAGATAGCCAAATGATGGCTACACTGCGGCCGGCCAGTTCTGGGAGGGCGTCATATGATGTCCTCCCAGAACGCGCGCCCCCGAGGGCGCGCACCTGGCAACTCCGTGATCGCTGTGTCCTACAGACACAGCTGATCACATGATGTGGTAAAAGGCCAATCACAGCGGCCTTTTACCACGTGATCAGCTGTGTCCAATGACACGCTGATCACGGGGAAATGCAATTGCTGGTTCTCGGCTGCACTTTCCTCACACTGTCAGATCAGTGCCCTGATGACCGGTGCCCAGCAGTGCCACCCACCAGTTCTGCCCACTTGTGCCCAGCAGTGCAACCACCTGTGCCCAGCAGTGCCCTCCAGTGCCGCCCAGCAGTGCTACACACCTGTGCCCAGCAGTGCCCACCAGTGCCATCCAGAAGTGCCACCTATCTGTACCCACCAGTGCCACCCACCTGTGCCCTCCCACCTGTGCCCACCAGTGCCACCCACCTGTGCCCACCAGTGCCACCCACCAGTGCCCATCAGTGCAGCCCAGCAGTGCTTCTAGTCAGTGCCACCAGTCAGTGCCCAGCAGTTGCGCCAGTCAATGCCTAACAGTGCCGCCAGTCAATACCTAGCAGTGCCGCCAGTCAGTGCCCAGCAGTGATGCAGTCAGTGCCACCTATCAGTGCTGTCTATCAGTACCCATCATCAGTGCCGCCTATCAGTGCCACCTATCAGTGCCGCCTATCCGTGTCACCTCATTAGTGCTGTCTATCAGTGCCGCCTATTAGTGCCCTTCAGTGCTTCCTATCAGTGCCCATCAGTGCTTCCTATCAGTGCCCATCAGTGCTGCCTATCAGTGCTGCCTATCAGTGCCCATCAGTGCTGCCTCATCAACGCACATCAGTGAAGGAGAAAAATTACCAGTTTGCAAAATTTTATAATAGAAACAAAGAAACTTTATTTTTTTCAAATTTTTGCACTTTTTTTGTTTATAGCACAAAAAGTAAAACACCCAGCGATGATTGAATACCACCAAAAGAAAGCTCTATTTATGAGAAAAAAATTATAAAAATTTCTTATGGGTACAATCTTGCATAACCGCACAATTGTCAATCAAAGTGCGACAGTGCTGAAAGCTGAAAATTGGCCTGGTATTGAAGGGGGTATAAGTGCCCAGTAGGCAAGTGGTTAATCTGGTCAGTCAAGTAGTAGAGGGAGTTGTTAATCAGTTTCAGATGCTTTGGTGTTAATGAAATTAACAACAGGTGCACTATATGGGCAACAATGAGATGATCCCCAAAACAGGAATGGTTTTACAGGTGGAGGCCACTTGCATTTTTTTCCCTACTCATCTTTTCTGACTGTTTATTACTAGTTTTGTATTTGGCTAGAGCAGTGTTTCTCAACTCCAGTCCTCATGGACCCCCAACAGGTCATGTTTTCAGGATTTCCATTATTTTGCACAGGTGATTTGATCAGTTTCACTGCCTTAGTAATTACCACAGCTGTTTCATCTGAGGGAAATCCTGAAAACATGACCTGTTGGGGGTCCATGAGGACTGGAGTTGAGAAACACTGGGCTAGAGTTAGTGTCACTGCTGGTAGCGTGAGGCAATACCTGGACCCTACAGAGGTTGCACAGGCAGTCCAGCTCCTCCAGGATGGCACATCAATATGTGCCATTGCCAGAAGGTTTGCTGTGTCTCCCAGTACAGTCTCAAGATCATGGAGGAGATTCCAGGAGACAGACAGTTACTCTAGGAGAGCTGGACAGGGCGTAGAAAGTTAACCCATCAGCAGAACCGGTATCTGCTCCTTTATGCACGGAACAACAGGATGAGCACAGTCAGAGTCCTACAAAATGACCTCCAGCCAACCACTGGTGTGAATGTCTCTGACCAAACAATCAGAAACAGACTTCATGAGACAGTAGCCTGAGGGCCCGACATCCTCTAGTGGACCCTGTGCTCACTGCCCGGCACCATAGAGCTTGATTGGCATTTGCCATTAAACAGCAGAATTTGTAGGTTCACCACTGGCATCCTGTGCTTTTCACAGATGAGAGCAGCTTCACCCTGAGCACATGTGACACTCGTGAAAGGGTCTGGAGAAGCCATGGAGAACGTTATGCTGCCTGTTACATCGTTCACCATGACCGTTTTGGTGGTGGGTCAGTAAGGGTCTGGAGAGGCATATCAATGGAGGGAAACACTGACCTCTACAGGCTCGACAATGGCACCCTGACCTCCATTAGGTATCGGGATGAAATCCTTGGACCCATTGTCAGACCCTACGCTGGTGCAGTGGGTCCTGGGTTCCTCATGGTGCACGACAATGCCCGGCCTCATGAGAGTAGTGCTGATAGTATACAGGCAGTTCCTGGAGAATGAAGGAGTTGGCACCATTGAATGGCCCCCACACTCGCCTGACTGAAATCCAATAGAACACCTCTGGGATATCATGTTTCAGTCCATCTGACGCCGCCAGGTTCCACCTCAGACTGTCTAGGAGCTCAGTGATGCCCTGGTCCAGATCTTATTTTATTTTTATTTATCGTGTTTATATAGCGCCAAAGGGTTTGCTCAGCGCTGTACAATAGGGGGGGACAATACATGAAACAGAACAGTAACATCAATCAGTACACAAGGGGTTAGAGGGCCCTACTCTTTCGAGCTTACAATCTAGGAGGGAGGGGGTAGAGGCACCGGAGGAAGCGGCTGTGGGGGATGAAGTGGTAGGAGGAGGGAAGGGCAGCGGCTGTTAGGTGAGGGTGGGGTAGGCTTCCCTGAAGAGGTGGGTTTTCAGGGAGCGCCTGAAGGTGAGGAGGGACGGTGACAGTCTGATGGATTGGGGTAGTGAGTTCCAGAGGATGGGGGAGGACCTGGAGAAGTCTTGCAGTCGTGCGTGGGAGGAGGAGACCAGGGAGCAAGATAGAAGAAGGTCCTGTGAAGAGCGAAGGGTACGGGTAGGGTGGTACCTGGGGATCAGATCGGTGAGGTAGTTAG